GAAGCAAAAAAAAATAATTTCTTCTTTTAATTAAAAAAAAAAGGAATTTCATAAAAATTCTTTGATCCATTGAATTTTTCGAGTTTTTGCTCATCACAAATCTGATATTTCATAGGAAGATAAAGTCCTTTATCCATGGCAAGTATTTTAAGATTTCATTTGATGTTTTTTGAAGCATAAGTTAAGATGAAACTAAATTAAAGTGTTGAAACTCATTCAGTGGAATAAGATTGAGTCTCAAAATAAATTTTAATTATTTTCATGAATGTTGAAGCTGTTTTTTAATACAATTAGTGGTTGGGGGTTAAGATTATCGAATTAATCATTATTTTTCGAGGGAGTTGAATTTTACAACATTTATAGAACAATTTTTTAAAGTTTTTAAACGTTCGAAACTTAAATTTTTGACTTGAAATGAAATTTTATATCTCATTTTAGGGGCCATCGATAAATGAAGATGAAAATCTTAGTTTTACTTCCTAAGCTGTTTCACTTAAGAAATTATAATCTTCAAAAAACTTGATTTTATCGTAGGATTCGAACTCGAAAGTTCAAATTCAACCCAAATTTTCGTGACTTGCACCTTACAAACTGAGCTATCGAAGCAACTAAGCTTCTTAAGTTGATAGTGACAATGCTATAATTTAAAAGAAATAAAATTTAAATTTCCAGAAAAGAAGCCAAAAATCGAAAAATAATTTATGACCAATTGAGCATTACTATATTCGGCATGTTCAAAAAAGAACGTCCATATCTCATTCATTCAACTCACACACTCACAATTTTTTTCTCATTATAACCATAATGTTGAATTATTTATTGGAAAAGTTTTGCTGCTCTCTTTTGTCATAAGATATAATTCCTTCCTCAACAGCGCGCAAAAAAGAGCGTTTATCAGCTTTAAATATTCTTTTGCTATTCGCAGCAAATGTTATCATTATCAAGACAGGATGGAGTAAGAAGAGACTAGAAACTTGCCACTCGATGTTTTATAGCCAGAATGAATAGGAGCCTGCTGGAAATAATTGTTCGCGACTTGAAAAATTCTTTATGACCCCTCAGATAGCACCAAGAGGAAAAAAAATCATAAATTTCATTGAACTCATTAAAAGCTTTCTTTTCTCGTATTTTTTATTTCTTTAAGAAATTTGCGCTCTGTTGAACTTTGCCATCATCTCCAATTCTTTCTTTTCTCCTTCATTTGAAGTTTTACTCATTCGCTTACTCGATTTCCATTGAGGGGGTCGAATGTCTTTTTCTTTATTTTGGGTTTTTACGATTTCTCAACGAATAACTTTTATTATTTGAATATTATTGTTTGCGGAAAATGTCAAGCAAGCTGAAGGAATGAGAACGTCTCATATTTTTCTCTTACAATTCGCCTTTTTTTTCGGATGGTTTGTACGCTTTGCGGGTATGCCTTAGTACAATAAAATTGAATAATGGCTATGCAATAAAAAATAATGTGCATTTACCAAAAGAAGGATGGATGTTAAAATGGGACGAAAGCGGAGATGTCTTGAAGCGAATTACAAAACTTGTGATGGTGTAAAATCAGTAACGCTTCAAATCAAAATTACTTATTCATGTTATGTCTTCTTATGAACTTTCACTTTTACTTTTTCTGGGGCAATAATATAACGGAAGTGCTTAAAAGAGGCAGAAAATGCGATTTTATAGACTTTTGTTTTTTAGGTCTTTTAAAGGTGAGATTGTGCGATAAATTCTTACCTGTAGAAAAATTTTGAGTTGGGTTTTTGGGTTAAAAGTTTGAATTTTAAATTCTTCTTCTAGATTTTGATTAATTGACTTGAAATTTTGATAGAATGCGTGCTCCTAGCTAAAGTTTCATAATTTGCTGACAGATTGTCATTTAAAGTTTTAAAAAGAGAAATATTAAGTTGCAAATTTTTGAGGTGAAAAGACCACGTGGTTATAAAAATTCAAAATATCCGTTAAATTTTATTTATCTTTAGTTTCTTATCTTGGATAACTGAACTCATTTTTCAACCAGTAACTTTTCCCATTTTTCTTGCTTACATAAAGATTTCTCACACAATTTTTTATTCCATCGTATGTTTGTGCTCTAAAATCAATGTGACGGATTTACATGAAACGATTTCGATTTGATTTAATGCAGCAATAAAGACAATCTGAAGCGATATTTATTGAAAACTCTCTAACACGTGCATGTGTACTTATGGGTAGTAACAGCATAAAAGAGATACTAAAAAAAGTAGCAAGAAAAGTGATCAAATATTCGTCGACAGGTGTTATTTATTCTCCATTTATTGAATAGAAAAAACTTCAATAAATATGTTAATATGTTCATATTTTCAAGCAATTGCTCTGTCAGAGCGCCAAAGTTTGTGTTTGCGAGTTTTTTTATGAGTGACAAGTTGTTTTGACTGTATATGAGCTTTTTGTTTCAAAATATTGTAGAGCGAGAAAAGTATCAATATCACAGGAAAATATCGACTGGTAAAATGTCAATCGTGGATTTCTTATTTTTTCTGAAAAAAAGATTGACAAAAAAAATTTACAATTTTGTGATTGGAATTTTTAGCGGCTTGTGGAAACATTTTTTCAAACGCGTGACTGCTATCGATATTTGTGTATAGCGAAAAATGTCTATATCCGGAAATTTCATTATCTTGGAACTTCCAACCCTGAATGCTATCGCTACATAACCTTCAATGTATTCTTCTGCTTTAGAAAACTTCACAATATCGACATTCCGGCAGACATAAGAGAAGAAATTTTAGTCATCAAAGAATTCTTCTTTTCATCGACTATAATTAAACTTTTCTGCCCCAAAAAATTCCACTTGAGATTTTTAATCATCAAGAAAAATTTCTCATCAGCTGTGCTTGAGTGCACAAAAATTTTCTACACAAAAAAAGGCAAAGCAAAGTCAAGGAATTTATTGCCTCAAATAAATCAAGAATTGTTCCTATTAAAAACATTTTTTTTTTCTATTCATCCACAGTCAGATTTATCTATCTATCTGTTCTGCATTTCTCATAAAAGAAATAAAAATTTTTCTCATCTCCTTTCTCTTCACATTTTCTTATTTCAACTTTACACTTGAGTGCATCTTGCCTATGAAATTTTATTCAACACTAAACTAGAACTGGAGAGAGAAGAATGTTGGAAAATACAGAGAAAGGCTTAATCCATTCATCATACATTCTCAACTGGAACTTATTAAAATTCATTCAGCCGTAATACGTTTCAAATAAGGACTGTATAGTATGGGAGATAATATGACAAGCATGTGATACTTTCAGTAAGTTTTGGAGTGACTTTCATTTGGAATAAATTCAGCACTACTCATACTCATACAAAGAACTACTTAAACTCGTCCATTTTGGGTTAGGCTTCAAGATATTTTTGAAGGATTCACCTTTATACTTTGTTATATTTATAAACATCCCTCTCAAGATAAGCCTTCATCTGATGAGCTTAAGTGGCTCGTTGACTTAAATCGAATGGCAACTTTACATCATATTTTACTTTTTGTGAAGTCAGGCTTCGTGCTTTGGTACTTCATTACTGTGCTAACTACACAGGGAATATTGATTCGAAACTTGGCATATAAAACATCACATTTTTGAATAATATGGACCAGAAATGGAGCTCACAGCCTTTAGTTGTGATATAAATTCAAGTATGTCATTCTGGTTGACAAAAAGCCCATATTTAGCTCTAAAGTGACTACAAATATGAGTACAAGTGAAAATAGATTCATCACATATCCACCCCTTGAACAGTATCGATAAAGTTGTTTCCAAAGAATGATGAGAAACTTTAAATTGCAGTATGCATGATGTACATTATATCACAATATTCTTCTTATAGAATATATAGCAAGAGTTTCCTTTTGTGGTCAATTTTCCCTTTAACTGAAAGGATAAATTTGAGCAATTTTTTTTTTCAATTTGTTTGTTGATGGAAGTTATTGAAAGCACAAAAGTTTCATTATGTAAATACATTCAGGTTTTATGTAAATATGTAAAATATAAAGTTTTAATGCCTCTTTTGATGCCATGTTGTGCAAGATTTTGCTGTATAGATACGTCAAATAAATGAATTGATTTATTTTATTTTTGTTATTTAAAATTCTTTGTAGATAAAGTTTTATCGGGCATGCTTGAGAGAATTTTTAATATACTTACAATCTATGATGGAAATTGTCAAGTAATTGGAATTTAATAAAGTTTTCGGAATAGTTTGGTGAGTTTATTAATTGAATGGTTATGGTAGGATATTGAGAATCCTTTGTTTCTTTTTAAGTTCATCAAAGTACATGTAAGGAAACATTTTAATAAATCGACCAAAAATGCCAACCTTCCCCTCCCCCCTTAAAATTTCTGCATACATTTTTGAATCTCTTTAAAGCTAGCTTTAATGATATCAAAAATAATTAACAATCAAGGTTAAAATCTATTAACTAGATAAGAGGCTGTTTATAAATGACGTCTATCAAAAAATATGATTTTTAGACCTCCTCCCCTCGTTGTGACAAAAAAAAATTGTTTTATTCTAGAAATCAAAAAACTATAAATTACACATCATTTTTAAATAGCCCCTTGCTTATCTTTTCACAATGTAGCACAGTTGAGCTAGTTTATTCTCACACAAAAGCTTCCATCTCAAACTATCTTTATTTAACCTACAATTTTATGTATTTTATTCCAATTGTCCCAAAACCAAACCGATGATGTCACTTTAGGCTGTAATTGAATTTGGATAAGCAACATTAGTTTAGACACTATTGTTTTTATTTATGTTTTCCCACCCATAATAGCTACCGATGAAATTTTTAATCAGTAGCTGTGTTTTTAATGTTTTTTACATGATTCACGCCAACAAACTGATAATCGAAGTTATTGAAAAACAATTCCAAATATTATTTGACAGGAAAACATGTCGTTTTTAAAAAATGAAATGATACAGCTATAAATACCTCGTGGGAGTTGCTGCTTTTATCATTTAAGGTCAGCTATTGAATTAAACACACACCGTACGTGCTCAATATTTTATTGTTTGCTTTATAAAAAACTATTGCACAGCTATAAAGGCGCAAAATTATAGTTTAATTGCCAGAATAACTTACTTCACAAGACTATTAAGTTAGAGATATCAAAGAAAATTACAGATTAAAAATGAATAAATTAATGATTGTGTTGCTGATTGTTGCATTTGCTGAAATTTGTGAGTATTTTGACAATTTGTGACTCATCAACAAAATTAATTCAATTCAATAAATAATCAGCCATCGCCCACAAAAGATTCTGTCCTCAAAACATGATCTACGAAAGCTGTGGAACTGCGTGTCCTCTAACATGTGAATATCCAGAACCCCGACCTTGCATAAGAATGTGTGTTCCTGGTTGTTTCTGTAAAGATGGATATCTTCTTGATGACAATGGAAAATGTGTGACTAATTGCTATGAAATTCCGGCAGAAGATTTGATTTAAATGTTTAAAAATTTATTGTAGATTTAGAAAAAATATTGAGATTATTTTTAATCAAATTATAAAATTTTATGTTATTAACAATTCAACAGTAATTTAATAAAGTTATTGATAATTCAAACCATACAATATGATTTTAAAAATACATTGAATTACACGAAAAAAGTGCCACTTAATTTTCAGCTCAAGATTTTATTACTTTGCTCAATCCACAACTGATTTATAGATTTGATATGCATTAATTTAATTACTATGCATTTTAAAATAATCAAAAATGATTTTTATTGCAATATGAAGTTTGATGAAAGCTCTGAAACCAAGATGAACAAAATATTTACATTATTCCTGATTGCTGTACTTTTGGAATTTGGTAAGAATCGATCACTAATTTAAAGAAAAGAAAATATTCTTAATTATCTAAACTTTCATTCTATTTAAAAGCCACTTCAATTGAAGATCAATGTTTTCATGAACCAAACACTGAATATGCAATTTGTAGCAGCAATTGTGGTCGTTCATGTGATCCAAAAAAATCTAGTTTGTGTTTCAGAACTTGTAAAGAGGGTTGCTACTGTAAAATGGGATTTCTGCTCAACAAAGAAGGAACTTGTGTTCTGCCTGAAGATTGTTAAATTGCTCAAGGCTAAGTTTTGTTTTAGAACATCAAATTGTTGAATAAAAATTTATGAAATTGTTGAAAATGTTTGGCAAGGTTTGAATTTTCTTAATTATTTTGAAAATATTTTAAAAAGGACTAAGCTTCTTTATTTTCAAATTTTAATTTTGTAGGCATTGTAAACCTTGATGGTATAGCCATGACTAAAACCGTACACAGCTCTAGTTCGTGAGATTTTTATGAATTTTGCTGCGTCTCACTAGTGTGTCGCGACACATAGTTTGGAATGCACTGCTCTATTTAATGATCTGGAGATCAATCTCTGGTGAGAATCGAACCCACGCTCTCACAAAAGAGGGTTACAAATATTCGGTTTATTGCCTTATCACTCGTGCCACTGAGTTCTAGCTCTTGTACTGGCAGATTTGGCTATGTATGGCTTCATACTCCAGATTCCACTTTGCCTCCCATGTGCCACAAGTCAATGGACTTTTGTTTCTCCAAATTTTCATAGAATTTTATTATATATATATTTTATATTTTTTCATTTTTATATGCTTAAAAATTACAAAGCATGTAAATTAATATTTAAAGCAATAAAATAACAAAACTAGTGCTGAGTTATCAGTTGTTTTACAAAAGCTGTTCATTTTGATTACCTTATTCACTACTTGTAATATTTTTTTACAAATAATTCATTTTTGATGGTTAAACTTGATTTATTCGCTAATTATTTATTCGCCACAACTGGATCGACAAATGCAAAAACGATTTTGATTTAGAAACTTTTAAATCAACAAATAAAATGAAGACTTTAGCGACTGTTCTTGCATTCATGGCTGTCGTTAACTTTTGTAAGTTAATCAATATTAAATCAATTTTAATGCCTCACAAAAATTATTCAAATCAACAGCAAATTCATTATTGATTCCAACGATATGTACAGGAGATTTAATCAAGACAGATTGTTTCGGTGAATGTCCACCAAGATGCATAGGAGTGCTTCCAATTGATTGCACGTTCAAGTGTAAGAAAGGTTGTATGTGCAAGGAAGGATTTGTGTTTGATAACAGATATAAATGCATTAAGAATGAAGGATGTAAAAATGGATTTGTTCAAAGAAGAATTGGATAGATTTAAGGATATTCGGTGATGGTTTTTTAATTCTTTAATGTATCTCAAAACTCTAATCTAGATTAAATGAAAGATATTCATAAGTGAATGACCTTTAACTCAGTTAAAAATAAGTTTTATCACTCGATTATTCATAATAATTGTAGGATGAGGTATTGACTATAAGATATGATGTAACCAAAGCCTGAATTAAAAATAATAAAATTGATAAAACAACAGACATCATAATCTACTTAGCTGACATTCAAACTGAATAAACAAGCTGATATCAATTTGACGCATCTGTTGCAAGTTATAAAGATTTTTTTATCTTTTGTGTAGTTTGTTTATTCTTTGAGCGACCTAATTATTACCTTTTTCTATTCAGAACTTTATTGAGATTTGTTTCTAACTATTGTAAACAAGTTTTGATTCGGACTTTGTTTGAATGGGTTAGAATTCACTAGAACATGTCGTCTATGAACTTAAACCATCAACTTTACTCTTTTAAAAGCATTTTCTAGCTATCTTTTTGATACATTTGTTTCCAATATTGTACCAGACCATACCAGGTGTATTCTGCCGTGCCTTCCATACCCGAGAAATCGGACCCCAAACCTTTATTTTCAATAAACTTTTCAACTTAAGCTTCATCTCTGGTACAATAGAAGCTATTATCGATCAGGATTACATTGCATCCAGCTAATAATTCCGTGTATGCATTGCTAGACTGAAACCCTTTCGCCTTATTCAACTTCAATAAATTTTGTACTGATGATCATCCCACATTTTGTAAACAATTTCAAAGAAAAATGAAGATGTTGACACCAAAACAAGTTGTTGCTATTAATAAACTGATAAAATTATAAATACACTCCGAGAATTGTTATTCTCTAGCATTATCACTCAAGATATTGTAGCAATAACAAGCACCACGTGAAAAGTATTTTTATTTCATTCTTAAATTCCAATAATTTACTGCTGTGCTCATCATAAATATTAATTTTGTCAACTGTTCAATCAAAAGGTGTAAAACAGATAAAATAATGAATAAATTGTTGATTGTTCTACTTATTGTGGCCTGTGCTGGAATCGGTAAGTTACCTTAATCATCATCATGAAGCAAATTCATTTTAATTCCCTTAAATTCATCAGCCCATTCAGCTAGAAGACCATGTGGAAAAAATATGGTTTACAATAGTTGTGGATCTCTGTGTCCATCAACATGCGAAGACCCAGATCCACAAGTTTGTGTAGAAGTTTGTGTCATGGGATGCTTTTGTAAAGATGGATATGTGTTGGATGAAGGAATTTGTATTCGTCCAGAACAGTGTGCCTTATTGTAAAATTCATGAAATAAACTATTAAACTTTTTTCATCAAATTCATTGTGGCTTTTCCTTGTTGTTGTCGTTGCTGTGGCTTAAAATGTTTGTCATTGTGGAAAAAATATTTCCGGTGATTGTTCACAATTCATTTTAGCATGTAGAATTATTCATAAATTCACAACGTTGATTCATGACTTTAAAAGTTCCTAATGAGGTTGTATGGATGCTCCCGAATGTCAAAATATTGACCTTATGGATCTGAATTGATTTCTTCATACAAAAATTAATAAATTTAAACTTAACATTTTAGCTCAATCTGAAGATAATCTATGTCTAAAACCTAACATGGTATGGAATGAATGTGGATCAGCATGCGAACCATCATGTGAGAAACAACCAGATTATTGCATTTTAGTCTGCGTTGCAAAGTGCGTTTGCATCGAAGGATATGTTTTGGATTCCAATGGCAATTGCATTTTACCAACTCAATGTCCTTCAGACATCACAACTTGTACGGAACCAAATACAGAATATGCATTTTGTGGATCAGCATGTGAGCCAACCTGTAGACACCGTCGACCAAGATTTTGTACAACACAATGTATTGAAGGATGTAGATGCAAAAAGGGATATATTCGTAATGATCAGGACGTTTGTGTTCATCCAGTTCAATGCTTTAAAAATTTGTAGATTAAGAGAATTGAATAAATAAGAAAGCAATTTTTAATAAGCAGGAATGAAACTTATTTTCAAGTTTTATATGTAAATGACTAAGGGTGAAGGCAGAAGAGCTGGGGAGTATTTGAAAAGCCAAAGCCTAAGAAAGTATGTTGTCCATAAATTCCCTGGCTACGCCCCTGTAAGTGACCAAGGCAAATTAATAATCACGAGCTAAACATTGATCGTGATCCTCCCATTAACTTCCGACACTTTATTAGCTTTTTAAATGAACGAATTGTATCTGATGATTTTATATAAATGCCAGTTCTTTTGCCATTTATCGTTAGTTTAATAGTGGTCACGAAACTCTTTAAATTACAGCTTTCAGTTCCTTACTTGATAATTCAAAAATAAAGTCATGAAAAATATTTTAATAATTTTTTTTGTCGCTTGTTTGATTGGACTTGGTAAGTAAACCTTGGCTAAACTTATTGAAACTTTAATACAAGTTTTGTCAAACTTTATGATAACCTTTTTTGTCCTTAATTATGACATTTAAACTATGAATTCCATTAAAAAATAAATGTATCAATTCCAAACGTATTTCATTCTAATATTACAGCCCAATCAGGTTCAAGTAGATGCTCACAACCACACAAAGTATGGAACGACTGTGGAACAGCTTGCCCACCAACATGTGAAATTCCAGAGCCAGACATGTGCATAGAAATTTGTGTCAGTGCATGTTTCTGTGAAGATGGATATCTTTTAGATCCAGTTGGCAATTGTGTTCTCTCAGACCAATGTGCTTGAGAAAAGTTTTAAAAGTTTTGCAAATATAAATTGTATTTTTGGTCAAAATTATTGGAATTAAAAGCTTAACAATTTTTTTTGTCATTTATAAGTCACGATTTTGAAGTTTAAAATTTAATTTATTTTTCAATATTTTAATGTTGAATTCATGACTTTAATAAAATTTCATTTAAAAAAATCTATAGAATTCGTATAAATTCAGCTACTTCTGTTTTGCATTTTCAGTTATATTTTGTCACGAAGATTTGGAGTTTATAGTTTTAAGGTGCTTCAAGTATCAATTTAAATATGAAACTTATATTTTTGTCAATTTTAGTTTTAGCTTCTTTGATCGGATATTGTAAGTATTTTTAAAATATTAATTAAGAATGTCTAAAAACGCAATATGTTTAAAGTATTTGTCAAAACCTTTGCCGCAAACCTTAATCCTACTCAAACAATTGAAACTTATTTGATTGATTTTTAAAGACATTTTTTAAAAAACTTTCAAGCGCAAGCAGGTTCAAGTAGATGTCCCAAGCCAAACATGGTATGGAGTGATTGTGCATCAGCTTGTGAACCAACGTGTGGCGAGCAGCCAGAAATCTGCATTTTGATTTGTTTGCAAAAATGTGTCTGTATTGATGGATATATTTTGGATGCAAATGGAAATTGTATTTTACGCAGTGAATGTCCTTAATTTACACTCTTTTAAAACCAAATAAATATTTTTTGATGCTTAATGCTTAGCTTCTTTGTAACTTAATAATGTCGTGACAAAACTTAAATAAATTCGTTGCAAATTATGATTTTAAGCAGTTTAGTAATGAAATCACCTGAATTTGAACTTTTTTACAGGCCAATCTGCTAAAGTCAATGAAATAAAATGTCCAGAGCCAAATACAGAACCTACTGAATGTCGAAAATCTTGCGAACCAACATGTCTTAATCGACAACCGAAGAATTGTCCTATGGTGTGTAAACAAGGCTGCATATGTAAGAAGGGGTACATTAGGGATATCAGAAATAAATGTATTCTCGAAAATAAATGTCCAAGTAAGTCAGTCAGGATGGCAGGCGCATCATAAAGAAAACTTTATTGAAAAATAACCTCAATAAAATAAATAAATATACAGAAGTTGTCGTTATAAGAGTAAAGTCAAATTAGAACAAAAAACAAGGATCCAAAAGTATCCAAATCATGTTTCGAACCAAAAACATAAGAATAAAGACCATTCTTTCAGGCTAGTTGTAACAGATTGATTAAATCCCAAATTATAAACAAATGAGGTAAAAATGTGATCCACAAGTTACTCAACAAATGTATTCCTTTTCATTCTTTTACACGTCATTCAACTTGTTGCGTGGTAAAGAAAAAACGCAATTTTGTGGTTGATTTTTAATCCTTGCGTGATGAACCTCTTGAAAGAAACTTGAAGGTTTGCCATTCACGCCTATCTTTATGCAACCGTGATTTTTGAGTCCCTTTCTGAAGATATTAATTAGTTGATCACGTAATGGCATTGTTGATGAATTGTAAGGGATAAAAAATATTTGTTTAAAATTTTATTGAAGCTTAGATTTTTTAAAGCCAAAGGAAACAGTTAAGAGTCACATGCCATTCGAATTTCGGACATAAAAGGGAACATTACCAAGATTTTTAATTTTTAAAGTTCTTTAGTGTCGAAATAGAGTGGAATCTGAAGTATTAAGTCATATTTAGACGATTCTGCCAAAGCAAGAGTAAGAATTCGAGTGGTTAGGTAGCAGACAAGATATCCGTAACCCTCTTTTATGAGGACGTGGGTTCGATTCTTACCTGAGCCGACCAGTCAATTATTATATAATGTTCAAAAGGTCTCTAACAAAAGCCACTTTTAAGGTCCTGAAACTCCATCCTAGAGATCAGAAGTTTTTGCATGCTTCGAGGTGAAAATTATGAAAGATCCAAAAATGTGAAAAAGAAATGCAAATGAAAATCTATGAAAATCAATAAGCAGAAAGGAATTGAAATTGAGGCTCATTTTTCACCTTCCATAAAACGTGACGACTATCAAGTCTTAATGGATTTTAATAAATTTGTAGAGCAGAAAAAGAAAATGCAAAATTCGTGAATATCCATTAAAATCTTGTATTACGCGCTCTCTAAGCTGTGAAATGGAATCATAACGGAGATGAAAAATCTGATAAATTAAAGCTCAAAATCACCTGCTCAGCAGTCAGCATCACGACCTTTTTCTTTCTGATTTTACATTCAATTTAACAAACGTGAAGGAAATAAGCCATAAAAATTTACTAGATCAAAGTTGAAAAAGAGAGAGAGTTGATGATGTAGGAAAGTAAATTTGGGAAATATCGATTCAAAGCAGCAAGAAGACTCAAAAGTTTCCCTTAATTTATAATTGTTGATGATTTTTTTTTGTTGTTATTCGAATAACTTTCAAGGTTGAAAACAAAATCAAATTATTTGCTATGAGTTAATTTTGGGGCCTTTTTTTTATTGAGAGGAACACGAACATTCTTCTTATTTATTCCATTGTTATTTGTTGCTGGAGCTATTATGATGTTATTTTATTGCTCAATGAAAATAGCTTCGTTTCTTATGGAAATTACTGAAAATTATTTTTAAATATGCCTTGTTTGCGTAGCTAAGAGGCCGATATAAGTGCGTTCTAGGATCAAAAAGTAATTGGGTTGTTTTGCTCGAAGGATTTTTTTAAAAAAAAAAAAATAGAAATTTAGGATTAACTCAATTGTTTACGGAGTTGTTTGCTTGATGCTTTTTCAATTTGACCTTCGTCCAATTATCTTATTTTTCTTGATATCGTCATTTGTGAACGACACCTGACAAAAATGACAAACAGCTCTAACAGATTCATCAAAGCTTTTCTCATTTATGTCATTCAACAAAATATCATTCAAATGTCTGCAACACAAAATATTAAATTGACATGCAAGAAAATAATTTCAACATTAAACTTACAGATTAAAATATTTTCAATTATAATTTTGCTGAGCAAACTGAAAAAGTTACTGAAAACCATAGTAATATCTCACATGTTGCAATAAGTTAATAACATCCTCAATTTTAAGATACTTTTCTGAATAAAAAGTCGATAGATGCAGTCTACTGAACTTTTGTCAATTATTTCACAAAGCTCAATGACTTTTCTATTCCAATGAAGTTTTATGCATGCAATATTTAAATATCGAATTCGTTTCTTAAGTTAATTAAACTTTATTGAGAACTCTTTGATGTGATCTTTGAGAGGGAATTTTATTGGAATTTATAGAAAATTTTTTTGTTTCAAGCAAGGGTGCGGAACTGATCAAAATGATCAAAAATTATCAAAGTTATCAAAAATGATCAAAGTGTAATTTATTAGTTCCGCACCCTTGGTTTCAAGCTGGATGGTTTAATACAAGGCATCTTAAAGCTTTAGACTGATTCCTTAGATTAATTGATTGATTCAATGATGTTTTTACATTCTTATTTTGTGGCTTCTCATTAAATAATTCTTTACAAACCTAATTACAAATTCTGAGAAAATATGTCTTTAACAATTAATGAGCTGGAACTGATTAATAATATTTGATCATTTTCGGTCATTTTGAACGGTTCTAGTCTCGGATTTTGGTTCTACACAGGGCGCCTTAGTGTAGACATTAATAGGGATGAACTTGAATAGGGGATTTAGATAAAATTCATTTTATACTAGGGAATGGCCCGCGTAGCCCTAGAATCCTGCCATTTTTGAAAGCCAAAAATTTTGGTTAAATGCCAAAAAACATCAGTCAAGCCTTCAATTGAGAATTTGGATTTTGAAATGAAACATCATTTAAAATTGAGAATTTGAAGCAACAACATTTCAAATTAATTAAATGATGAATGGACATTGATAGAATACTGAACCACATGAACATTCACAAATAAAAGTAATTTTAAGGAACAACAAGAATTCAATCAATAATTAAAAGAACAATAAAATGAAATAGATCCTGACAATTCAATTAACATTTTATTGATTAAAAATTAAACTTTTCCATCTGACTATTGAAATTGCATTCATGCTTAGTAAATAAGTAAATCTTACTGAAAATTTGAAGACGAAAATCAATTTTGATGATGAAAGTTTTCCAGCATTTTGATTAAATATTCAAAGCAATTTACAATATACGAGTCATCTACAGTTTCTGCAATACTTAAAATTATTTCTATTTTTGGTTTTCAAATAAAATAAAAATTATTTTTCATGTTCCAAAAATTTTCCTAATTCACAAGACTTGCCATTGATGCTGAATATGCAAATAAAATTAAATGAATTTGAAATTATTATTAGATTTTCTGTTTTGCGCAACTAGAAAATCTTTCGTGCTATCTCTAAATTTCTACGGATATGATCTATATGTATGCATATCTATGTGAAGTACTTTTGTGGCTAAAGCTTCAAGAAGATGGAATTGTGCACTTAAAGGACAAAATTTAAAGTTATTTTTACCATTTTTTTTTGAAAATTGGATTTTCAATTCTTAACCTTGAAAAAAAAATTAAATTCAAATTTTCCATTAACAAACGTTTGCCTACAAAAACTCGCAACTTCCACATTGTCACAAAAGAAAAGCCAATTGTCATTCCTTATGTCTATTTCCATCTGTTTCTTTTATTCAATTCCAAGAATCATGAATATAAAATTTCCATGAGTGTATGAAGCAACAAGAATAAACATAGCATCAGCATTACCAAACAAGCATGTATGCAGAGGAAAATGATATTCCTTTTATAATTAAATTTCTCTTTATTTTTTTTAAAGAGAATCTGAAAAGCATCTCAAAAAATCAAATTAAGAATAAGGAAAAGTTTTTCATATCTTTTTTATTATTACGGAAAAAAATTGAAAAAGGGAAACTTTAATGCGCTTCAATAGCTTCTTGCATTATCATGAAAGACAAATTTATCTTATAAAGATATTGCAATTGACAGAGGAGAAGAGTTAAAGGAAGAAGAAAATTTTAAGTAAGGAAGTTTTCATGGTTGGTTGCTAAAGCGCATTTTAAATGAGATTTAGCCGATTTAGCTATATAAAGTCATTAGTAGACCTTAAAATCGACTTGTCTTTTGTATGGAAATGTCGATTTAATTATACTCAACTTTTAACAAAACTCGAGGAGGTTTTAGGTTAGGAATAAGACATGAACCATGGAAGACATAACACGATCTTCTCTTACAAAGAAGAACTTGCTTCAACATGCTTATAAAAAACTAAAGCTCCCCTTAAATGTCTCTACCCCCTTCCCCCCCCCCTCCCACTCAACCAACTCGAAAAAATATCTTGCTAAGCCTTTGACTCTATTTTTCTGTATTGAATCAGATCATTATGATCCTTACCAGGGGCGTAGCCAGAAAATTTTTAAGGGAGGGGCCCATTTTCGAAAATTAAAAAACCGTTATTTTGAATCCTTCCCCAAAACCTTAAAATCCATCAACATTTGTTCCACTTTCCCCAAAACCCAAAGTAACAAGTCATTTTCCTATTAAGACACAAGTCAAATGATTCATGAAATTTCATCTTCAAAACAAAGTTTAAAAAGTGCTCAAGGATATTTTTTCTCTCAACATCCATTGTACATCGAATACGTCTGTAAAGGAACAATTTTTTTCTTGTGTCATTCCGTGCCTTTTTCTTCGTGTGTTTACATAACAAGATAGAATCATTTTTGCTTACTTAAAAATCATAATTCAAATATTTCATAAAATGATGCTCAACTTTAAAGGAATTACTGACATCAAGAGGAACAG